ACTAGGGTGACCAATGAATCTGTCATTAAAATCTCCCCATTCGCCCCATGAAAACAAACTGATGACTCCGCCCTGAGTTCCAACAACAACTTTTCTGTTATCCTAATAATGAAAAGACATTACAATGCCCATAGATAAATGGTTGCGAAATCGATAAAGTAATGCCGATGACGTTTCGCAATTCTCGAACCTTCATGATGACTACGGACAATAATTCATCATCCTGGTTATCTGACATATCAATCAAGTTTGGTCTCCGTATATCACACACCGATAATGTGCCATCACCACTATTTAATAAAAATTGAGAGGTGAATTTACAAATGATGTTGTGAATAGAAATAGATGTGGATCGAATACCTCGCGGTGACAAGAGTTTTGGTGTCTGCGCGAAATGCAAAATCTGATATGAAATCTTGATGATCAGAATATTTCATCAATTCGTCACCAGTTCGTGTATCCCAAATCTGTTGTAAGTAATACAACCATTGAAAATGAGATCGAAAGTAGGTGAAAATCAGGGCAAAGGAGGAAGATCATCGAACAATTCTTCAAATAATTTCTTTAGTGACCTCTGAGATTTATGATGAGGTTTATTTCACATAATTCTCAAAGAATATGTATCATTAAAAAGATGTTTCGCCAAAAAAGAAAAGAAAAGATCGCGTGTTTGTTTATTGTCATCACTCGATAAGAGTCAATTCCTTTACTCTATTCTTTGCGTAAACATCCTTGTACGTATTCCAAATATCAAATAATTCATCGATATATTTTTTCTGCACTTCAAGAAGTTCTTCTTCCGTCGGATTTTCATTTCTTGTAATTTCGATAGGTCTTCCAACTAATGCCATCAATTGACGAATGTTATCAACGGGAAAAAAGTTGAGGAATCGAGCAAAAATATAACGGTAAATTTTCAAACTCACCAATTGTGGTTATGGGTCTTCTGTGTGGTAGCATTCCGAAATCATCTGTGTATGTCGGCTATGTGATTAAGATTCTTTCTTTTTTCATAATGGAATGAATAATGTCTTTATCAACTTACAATTGAACAAACCGCGACCGTGAAAGAGCGGCATTGTCCAGCCGGACAATTTTTGTACCGTCTTTTGGAACTTCCAAACTTTGCCTCCCTTGGGATTGTCTGCTTGTTCCCATATATCATTCTCGCCAAATGAAAATACAGGACACAGACAAGCTCTATCAGGAAATTAACGCAACTGATGAATATACTGAGGTGAGCGTGACATCCGAAAAGTCATTTTTCCTTCATACCCGTTACGAACTGCCAATTTTATGAATCCCAATCTTCTTTTCAGAACCAAATCATAGACACCTGGGCGTGCGTTTAAGCTTTCCCCGGCACCACCGACCACTATCATCACAGAGTTTCCCGGTCCTTTGTGTAAAATATTTTCGCATGATTGACGTGACACAGACGCGAGTCCTTGTGCCATCAGATAATCGCGATAAAGCGGGAAGTTAAAATTTGACGTAAGGGTTAATAGGCAGCAGGTTATGCCTGGAAATTTTTTTGAGAAATCATTGGCTTCGGTGGCAAAGTTCGTCCATGCGCCAACCGAAATAACTCCATGCGGATGATATCCTAGTCAAAGAAATCAATGATCATTAGATACACATTATACTATATATAAAACCATCAATATGTCATGTACTAACCAAAAATGTAATTCTTGGAAGGATCCAAGTCCACTCGCTATAATCATTTTAATAAATAGTTGCTCGTGAATTTTAGCGATAACGATGGTGTGCGATAAAAAGCAAAGTGCACGACCCTTGCCTACTGCACCTTAATTAACTTGATCGGGAAATACTCGGCGTACCACTTCCAAAAGCTCGCATTCCTGGCGAAGGAGAATCTCCGACCACCATTCTCAGGTGCGATATCAAACAACACGAATAATAAATACGCAATAATCCAGGGTAGAAAGAAGACTATGGTACAGGACATGAAGAAAATGAATAATGTGGCAGGCAGAGACACGAGCCACAAGAAGACAACTGCTGTTTGACGTCTTCTTTCGAACGGCACATTTAAAGGTGCTAAACGAATCGGGAGGCCGTCAGGCATATTGTGTTGAATTACGAAGATATTTGGTTACCAAAATTTGTTAAACAGTTCGCGTCGTGTAGAGAGTGTGTAAATGAGTCCGGCGAGTTTACAAAATCTTACTTCTCAAAGCGATATTTTTTCGTAACACATTAGGACAAATCTCATTTCTTGAAAAAAAGAAAAAGGTATTGAAGGAGTTTGGCATTTATTGTATTTATGGTAATTTGTATTAATTACAATAATAATTAACCTAATTAACCATAAAGTCGACATTTCAGGTGATTTCATACAATCGTCATATGAAAGGATATTATTTATGAGAAAATTGAATTTTTGTGGTCACCTGATTAAGTTCAAAATTATACATGTATTCGAGTAACAGAGTCCAATAAAATGTCTCTCCCTGTTACCTGCGTATAAATATTCAACCCATGCCCCAAGGAAATATCAAAGAACAAAGTTCCGCTTATGACACAAAAACTACTTCTATTATGGACGTGGATCCGCCAGTAGCCGGTGAGACACCTTCAACGCTTGGTCAGCCCGCTAACGATTCTAAATCGGAGTCCTCCGGCGTGGAATGGGACGTGAAGATGGAAATAGAATTCTTTCGTGCCATTATGAAACACCGACCAGTCGGTAGGTTTTTCACTATAATTTGTGAACACACGCAATTGATGAGCACTAACTGTGTCAAAGGAATTCACCGTCATTTTCACATGGTAAACGTCCACCGCGACTTTAATGCCAACAGCGCAGTAAAGTGCACTATACCTGAACTGTGGGAACGATTTGGAACATACTTTAACTTGTCCAAGCTTGAAGAATTGGTAAACAATGTATTTCAGATCTTGTACTTTACTTTTTCTCAATTATTAACACCTTGTTTGTTCGTTTAAAGGATAGAGAATTCAACGAAGAAGTGGACGAAGATAGTGCATATGTAGAATTTAATCTACCTATGGACGAATACTACAATCTTATGATCGAGAATAGTAGGGCAGGCTCATCGCGCGGACCTTCACCTTCACCTGCACCATCGAGACATCAAAAAGGACGTAAGGAACCTTCGCCTTCACTCTCACGTTCTTCTCCCGACTCTTCGCTGGATCCTGAAGGTAAGCGATCCCTTTTCTCATAATTGGGAGGATGTTATCTTAACTTCCATTCATTCTAGATTCCAAGAAAACCAGAAGAACGCGTACGGCGAGAAAGTCGGACACAACTGAGCCTACGAAGACAAAACGCACTGGTACTAGTAGATCGAGAAAAACTTCTGATGCTGTCGCAACTTCGAGTGGAACTTCGAAACGTGGTGGCCGCAAAAAGAAACAATAATTCAATAATTGATCAGTTAGAGTGTAAATATTAATAGTGCATTCGAGAATTGAATTGAGTTTTGGTTTCGCTCTTTTTTATTTCTCGATTCTTGGAGTCAATAATTAAGGAAACCCGTGTCGAGACATCTTTTTTTTTTTTTTTTTTTTTCACAATGTGAGCCATTAATGAAGAAAAAAGAAAAAAGAGCAAGGAAAATTAAAAATTGTGATCAATGTATATATATATACTTTATTTAAAATATTTCGTTGTCGCCAAAAGTAATTTGGCGCACAACATTTGTACATATTATATAATAATACGCGAACCAGCAATAAGGCATACGCATTTTAGTTTATTCGAAAACTTTTTTTTTTTGTTTTTTGAAAAAAAAAAAAAAAAAAGAAAAACTCCTAAGCACATTTTTACATACAGCAAATCAATTTGATCATGCAGCTCTAGACACACTCGCAAGTAATTTGAATCATCACGTGCCCACATCCTTCTTTGCATTGCAACTTGGCAAATCACCACTTCTTAGTAAGGATTCGTCAAATATGCTTCTTCCGGATTTAAAAAATGACCTGTCGTTTGAACGATTACGAGAAGTTCGTTGTTCGTGGATTCTGTTTCATGAAAAAGACCGAAAGGAAATCAGATAATAAAGACTTTGTATTACAAGCAAAGTTGTTCATCAACGGCATTCATTAATGTTAATTGAATAGACTTATTCAAAATGTCCCATTATAAATATTAAATAGTTAAGTCCAGTATAAATTCATTGATTCTCTATTATATTATTTTCGTGCTGAACTTCAGTGTTAAGTCCTACGGCTTCTTCAAATCCAGAATCCATTCTTTCCTTTTTTCTCTGTTCATACCAACGATGCTTACGTTCTTTGCTTCTCAAGGTCGCCAGTTCTTTGGTAATTTCATTTCTCTCTCGTCCCAATTCGTCTAACGCCATCTGTGCTTTTTCCAATCCTTCTGAGTCGCCTTGCACCGTCTTAACGCGTTTCAACTCCTGTGCGATTTCATACTGATTCTCCTTACTCTGCAATTTACGTTCCAGTTCTGCAATGCGAGCGAGACGATTTTCACTCGTCTGAGCTGCGTGCTGGTTTCGTCTCAATCGAATACTTGCTCGGGATGTTCTCTCGCCGGGTTTTGGTGCATTCGGATTCAATTTCGATCGTGATTGACCACGTTTATAAGTGTAACCCTCCGATAAAAGTTTGGCCTTTGCTTTCTCAAATAAGACACCTTTGTTGGCTACCAGTGTAGGATCTGAAAGTGCCAGTTCAGTAGCTGCTCGATTAATGGCTTGTTCATAAGATGTCAGCTGCCTATTACTATTCTTGCCGTAGATTATCGCATGATGTATAATTACATCCTTTGACGCCGCTACATTGATTGTTGAATTATCATCATTATCATTGTTACAGATCACCAAATTTGATACAGGTGGCGATGTGGGACACTCTTTGACGACTTGTGCCGTGGAATGGTCAAACGTTTCTTGAATCTCCTGCATTGGTGAGGTGGTATGGATGGATAGAGATTCGTTCGTTGTTTCCTCGTTCGTTAAATTTGACGAGATTCGTGACGTCACGGCAGAAGACTTAGTAGGTGGCTCCCTTGTTGGGAACGGTTCTTTCTCTGATTTTAGTACAATTTTTGTACCGACTCGACCATCTGGACCATTATTCTCACGTACCTGGATCACAATAAAAGATTAATTCTTGCCACGAAAAATATAAGAAAAGACCGATCCGAACCTGAGGTAGCGGAGAGTTAGCCAAGTACAAGGGGGTCACTGGGAACACATTTGTAGGAAGATTTGTTATTAAATTTGGAGAGCTGAGGTTCGCCGAAAGTGCCTGTCTAAGTTCTCTTATTCCCTTCTTAAAAGCTGCCGAATGAAAAGGTTTCATGGATACTGCGGATAGAACCTCTTTGATTTCTGCTTCGTCGAAACCAAGAAACTGTTCGAGATCATTTTCACCAACACCAGCGACCTCAACAAAACCATTGTGATATTGCATCAGATTCAATTGCTGGAGGAAGGTAGTCAAAGCAGGACAGCGGTACGTATTCGCAGATGAAGGTTGAGTGGAACTATAATATCCCGACGTAGCATTCGCGGAAATATCACCAGGAGACATTTCCTCTTGTGTAGAGGATGGAGTCGGCTCCATTCTGGTAATTTCAAGGCAATAAAATGGAACGAAAAGTCCATTATTATTTTATTTTTGTGTATTGCTGCTCTAAGAAAATGACATTCATAATAGGTTACCTTAATTATAAAAGAGAGGTATCTCCAATTTTTTTTTTGTCAACCAAAATGCTCTGACGGTCTTCGTGGTCGCCTGAACTATTGTGAATTTGAAGTCAAGGGGAAGGTCAGGTTTCTTTTGGCGGGGTTGTACGTACTAAATATTGAATTTATGTCACGTGTTACTATGAGCTAATAATTATCAAAAAAAAATTTTTTTTTTTTTTTAAATGTTGCCTTAGCCTTGTTTTATTTGTATGTTTGCAGCAAAATTACATAGGAAAAATAGTTTTCTATCAAATAAAACTTAATAGAGAATTTCCTTTCATAAGGATACTCACCTTGCGTCTTGTTATCACTCCTTATAAGGAGGTTAACCTGTCAAGGTTGGACTAGTGCTAAAATAAATTTCAAAGATAAAATCATTATCACAATCTTTATTAGTGATATACCTGTATATTCATATAAGGCAACTATCTTGACTTCAACTGCTTTATATTACTCTTTGTATACAGATAAATAATGTATATACTAATACTATAAATACTCATATATCTGCTTATATTAGTAACTTATATACATGAGTAGCTTTTATATATTTATTAACTATATATAAGTACTACCTTATCGAAAAACTATATAATTCCTTCTTAACTTTTTTCAGACCATTTTTATTAAGAGTAATCTGATAATCAGGCTATTGAATTTCTTTATTCTTAATTCAGATTTTGGTCCTTCAGAGTAGTCAACGGATTTCTCCTTTTATCAAGACTTCCCAATTGTTAAGTCTATAAGTCAAGGCATAGCTATATGCTTAAAGTCTTGAAATTGGATAAAATCTTTAGTTGGTCCTTTTTCAGTGATATGCAACCAGTTTAGGGATCTACTCTTCTTGTTATTAGCAAGTGGTAACTGGATCTTATCAAGAATAATCCTACTCGATTTCAGATAGTAACCTGATCACAATCTTTATATAGACCATTCTGTATTATGGAAATCTTGATTTTTGATAAGAATTATTGAAAACTATTGTGATCAAATTTATATTTGACTAGTGTGTCCAAGTGGAATTGCTTTTAAAAGGACAATTCCCAAAAAAAGAATTAAAGAAGTAGTTTATAATAATTAAGAATAGATTTATCAAAAATCCTTTGAATAGTGACATATAGTATTTCACAAGAAATATAGTTCACTTAGAATCCAAGTTTATTAATAAATCAAGAAAACTAAGACAATTCCTTTAGTCCTAAAATCAAAAGAATATATTCAATCTCCTAAAAGAAAAGTGAAATTATTTCTAAACTTTTAAAGTTAAGTGAAGTTATCATTAAACTTCAAACTTCTAAAATCAAATGAAATTATATCCAAACTTATTTTACTTTTGAGTGAATTATAACTACTTATATACTTATAAAAATGGATCACTTGGATCTTTTAGGTCTCCTGAACCTCCTGAGCCTCCTAGGTCTCCTGGATTACCTGATTTATGGTAAATTATGTTACGTACTACATTTGATAAAGTGATCTATTCTAATTAAGTACCAATAAGAATATCAAAGAACATCAAAGAAATAATTATAAATAAATAGATAAAAATAGAAATAGAATGAAGATCATGATTAAAAATAATTATCCAAGGATATTAAGGGCTATTTTTATCACACTTTCGC